AAAAGTATGCCCAAAATAGGGGAAGCCATGAGGGAGCAAATACTTTTTCACAGCATTGTGCATACTCTGAAATTGCATATTCGGTAAACGTTAGCTGAAATCGGGTCTATGGACATTAAAACACAATCACGGTTGAGCTGACCGAATGTTTGCTGCAGATACAGATTTCTCTTACGTCCAACTTAGATTACAGGTGACACTGAAAATGATCATTTTTAAACATCGGGCAAATATTATAGCCATTTATCGGCATAATGAAACCTATATGTGTAACAATGTATAATAGAAAATATTATTCATATATGGATGCCATAAAGTACTCATGTATCTCTGCTGTTGGAAGAAAACCATATCTCCAAAATGGTAACTTTACAGGGGAAGGAAAAAACATACTTTACTTTTAATGTAAGTCAGTGGAACCAGAATTTTTTCCAAGTCATTTTGGGCTGTTTATTTTGGTCCATTCATCATGAAATTTACTCATAATGTAAAGGGCAACGGACATTTTCAATTTATGTCAAAAACTGAAAACGACAGTTTCTTTCACATACTTCCTAATGAATTGAAAATGAGGAGTACATAAATAACTACATAACTAAACTCTAAATACATGCACATTGTTAGATATGCAGTAAAAAATTGAAACATTAATATTCAAAGGAAACAGATAACATATATACATATATATAACATATATATGATATGACACATACATGTCCAATTTTTTATACTAACATATATGTTCCTAATGGAGAATCATAAAACTGTATTATGACTACAAGTACAAACATACGTACAATGAGGAGTCGAAGGCTGAAACAAACATAGTGGCTATAACTGTACAGAATAGGACAATGCCTATCTCCATAACATTATGCCAAAAAGTGTCCAAGGTGTTAATGCGGCCAATGGTTAGAGCTGTTTAACGCTACTACTTTGTAATGGAAATATTCTTGAAGAATATTGGAGATCTCTGTAGGATCTTGAAACTGGAACAGTTTGCTTCAACATCGTTATGTTGCATTGCAAGTTGAATTCCACAACAGCAGTTGCTTGGGCAGATCCTGGAAGTCCACTTTCAACAGCAGGCATTCAGTTCTTTGTAGCTTAGGTGTGCAGTGCCAAGACGTTTGGCACACGCTGGGCAGGAACACTGGTTTCAGTTTATCTGTAACACACAAAAAGAAATATTTGCGCAGTAAACTGTTTAGCAATATTGGGAAGTTATTCATTCAGAATTAGGTTATCTGCTATGCCCACTATTTGTCCCTCAGAAGGGGCTGGTATAGTTCCACACAGTGTGTTGAAATCTTCACCTACAGGGGTGGCCCCCAATGGCCTAAAAACCATGGTTCTTTCCTGAGGCTCTGTGCTTCACCCACCCCCTCTCCAGCTGTCCCTGTATTCAATTCTGGGGTGCAGACACAACCTTGCAACGGGAAACATGTATCTGTGTTTTCTTCACATTTAATGCTTGCATCAGCTATCAGCAAAACTTCTCATCTAGATTCTAAAGACTGCTTGCCATGTTTCCTCACCATGATTCAGTGGCCTGAAACTATCATACAGATACCTTCAGCACTGACTTAGCACTGTTTGGAAGAAAACGCTTTTACTTACATCTTCAAAACTAAAATGAAAAACTAATTTAGCCCTGTGTGACCCAAAAGGATGTGGTTGTGTCACGAGGCAAAGAAAGCAATGCTTCAAATGCAAGTTTTCCCCCTTTGGCCCAAACACCATCTGGAGCAACTTTTGCATCTGAATTCAGCCACGTCCAGTTCCCAGTCTGGACTGTAGCTGAGTTACCAGCAGATCGTATAGTGGTTTTTAAAATGGTAGCATAAGGATTGATTTAAGGCCTACTGTAGTTACTTAGACCTAGAAAAACAAGGCCCAAAGTTGTGGGCAACAAAACCGCATTAATTTGAGGGCTTCTATCAGGCAAAACTGAACCACTTAGTAGTCAATTTCCCTAATTACTGTACACCAGCACAACAATTCAACTATTTCACCCTAATATCCATTGCTTACAAACAAACAAACAAACAAAAAAAATCAAAAAGTGCTTTTACATCTGGCTTAAATAACAACAGAAAGATCAACACCCAGATAAGCTTAAGCATCAGAATAATTAGTTAAAAGCAGGAGCAGACGAAACTATGACTCGTTTCTATCGCCTTCATTACCAAAGACAGCTGCTCTGTGACTCCCTGCATGGTTCTGATTATCAAAGATAACTGCTCCTTTGAAATTCCCTGAAAAAGGTTTCCTGCTGGGCCTCCCTGTGAAATTCCCTCAAAGGGATTTCTTGCTGGGGTCCCGTTCACCCTCGCACCTTTTTTGTGTATTCCTGCCTGCTTTTTACGACAGTGTCTGGCCTGATGACCAAACTTATGGCAGTAGTGACATTCAGATAACTTGTCCTTCTTGTTGGAAGTAAAGTTCTGCCTGGAGCTTGAGTTAGAGCTACTATCTGTGAGGACATGTATAGATGCTGGCACATGGCCTAGCTCTAGATCCAGATCCAATCTGTCAAGTTCAATTTTAAGGTCACACCATTTAACTTTACGCCAATTTGGAAGAGCTGTCACTAGGGCTTGTCTAAGATCTGATCTTAGTGAGTCAACTAGTTGTCCAAAATGTGGGACATCAGTTGTAACATCAATGTTATCACTATTGTAGGTATCAATTCCACAGTGACGCAGAAAAACTCTTTCAAAGTGTTCACAGTATTCTGCAGCTGATTCCCCTTTCCTTTGTCTACAGTTGGTTATCTGCTTCCAGTCAGTGGTCTTGCGGCATTTGTGGCTAATCCACTCCCTGAAAACTTTCCACCCCACATCAATATCCTGACCACTGTCACCCAAACCATCTAACACCCTTTTAGCAAGTTTCCTACTATCAGTTATGTTGAGGACTTGGCTCACTATGGCTACAGCGTCATCTTTTTTTCTCAATAAGATCAATGAAATCAAGTCCCATCTCCCTTGGGTGCTTGAATTCTTTAGACGGTCTATCCAGTGTTGCTGCATCTAAAGGAATGTGGTCAATCTGTACTCTGGTTCACCTCCCTTATTAAGGACTTCAGACGATCTAATAGTGATTGGTCTCATCTGAACTGGCTTATTACTAGTAGGATTAGAATCCTCATCAGAGGAGGAGGGTTCTGATCCATCAGAGTGAAATGCATCCAACTCTGGATACAGCCTAGCCAACGGTGGAAGATCTTCATCCTCTGTGTAGCATGGCTGACCCGGAGGAGGGGCTACAGGTGGAGGTCGGCGCTGACGCTTTGACTTGGATTTACAGTTGGCATGTTGTTGTTCAACCTCGGTTAGTGATTGTGGTTTTTTACAGGTTCTCTGGGCATTCATGGCAGCTATTTTCTGCTTTTTACACTCGTTGGTTAACTCTAGGATCTTTCCCTCAGCTTCCTCTAGCTTACCCTCCATGTATCTAAGCTTGTACTTCCAGTACTGCTTTATTACATGAAGACACTCCTTAACTGAATCATGCTTTATACCATAACCCAAAGCTGTTTTAAATTCTGTAAAGGCCCATTCACTATCAGCAGGGAACCCTTTGGATGCAAAGTACTGAGATCTCTTTTGCTCATTGGTGGGCTTTTTGACTATGCTGTCAATTACCATTTCAAATTCTGACTCAGTCCACTGAGGCATTTCAGTCCCACCCTTAACTAATTTGCTTTTTTATAGTTAAGAGGTTTCCAAGAATCTTTACCACATTTCTGAGCATTTTGGCCTTTAGAAGTCATGGTGAAGTAACACAACCTTCTCGAACAACAAACAAAACAAGTAAACAAAAAAGAAAGACTTCCCTCACTGCCCGAGAGGATAAGTTACAAGTTACAGTGACAACAAAAAACAGACACAAAAAGGAAAAAACGCTAGGCTTTACCAGTGACAATGAGTGAACTTCCCTCAGGACAGAGGGGATAACAGCCACAAAAAACACTAGCGCTCTTTTATCAGTGACAACAAGTAAACTTCCCTCAGAGCAGAGGTGATAACAGCCACAAAAAACACTAGAGTTCTTTTATCAGTGACAACAAGTAAACTTGTCTTGTTTCGGAGAGGCTAACCTTTACTGACTCATCTATCTTATAAAGCCAGAATTTCTCTTCAGTTCGAAAATGGCGTTTTACTCACCAAGTAGGTTTCAGTAAGCCATCCGCGGCACGGCACCAAGTTGTTAGAAATTCGGCACCAAGAGTCAGGAGACTGGAGCTTCGGCGTTGACTGGAGTTTATTTCCATATACAGAGTCTGGGTACAGCGTGGTCGATCAGCAGCCAATCAGCAGGATCAGAAGTCTAATCTTATTCACGTGCATGCAGACAATCATGCACGGGCACAGCTTGGTTATCAGTGTGTCACCAGTCTGGTCTGGTCACCAGTCTAGTCTAGTCCAGTCTGCAGTCCAGTCTGATGAATACATGGTCTGACATAGTTGAAGTAGAGATACTGGGGGTCGGGGGAGGAGGCAAAGAGGGAGGGGAAGTAGGTGACAATCAATAGGTTGGGGAAGAAGCGGGTCTGGGGTCAGGGGAGACCCCAGGGGTAAGGTGAGGTTGTTCTGACCTCAGGGGGAACAATACAGATAAAACGCCAAAAGGCACACAACTGTAAGACAAATACAGCTGACACAACAAAAAGACAACATAGGTTAGAGCATAGAAGAAAGTAAATGTGAAAAGACCTATACCTTCTCATTACATAACTCTAAGATCATGCACATTGTAAGCTATGCAATATAAGCTACAACAAGTCCAATATTTGAAACTTACATATATCATATATATTTTGAAATACATCCCTGGCCCTTGATGATATGTGTGCACATCTGGCCACATATCAGATTTCCGTATGGGACGACCAGCTGTGAGTCAGAACAGTTGCTCAAACTAGTCCATTTCTCATTAAAAGCAGCAGTGAAAGGAAGAGAGAAGTGACGGGATGGCGTGGTGATATAAAAGTCTGAGGAGGAAGTGTTGAGACAGCAATATGAGGGGATGATGAGGAAGAACTTCTCAGAGCGCAGTTGTTTCTGAGAGAGAGAGCAGTCTTCTTCTTCTTTTCTGGCATAGATTAGCTACGTTCACACAGGCTGGCTAGAGTGCGAAGGCAGGCTTGCTGCAGGAGTTACATTAGTGTCTTTTGTCACCGAGGGCCGAGGACTGAGCCAGGACAGCGAAACAGAGGGACGGACAGCCATGGCGAGTGAGAAAGTGACTGAGGTGGAGATGGAGAAGATCAGCCCGGCGGAAAGGAAAGAGAATGATTATGTAGAGAAAGGCGAACTGCGAGAGACTAAAGGTAAAACAGGTTAAGACACCTGAAACTCATCATTAAAACTGACACCATTACAGCACTGAGGTGGTCAAACGTTACTCTTCAGCTATTTGGGTCAACAGGTCCTGAAATTTTGATTAAAGTGAGAGAATCTAATAGTAGAAGCTGTAAAATCAAAGCTTATTATTAATTAACTGTCAATAACTATTATAAAGTGCTCAGTAGTTACTGTAAATTATTGCGTATCTGCAGTATTGTACAGTATTTATGAAGTATTCAACAAAAACATTCTTGAGTAATTTCTATGAAATATTTAGTAATTACTGTGAAAGGTTCAATAAATATAACTACTATTAATTATTCTGTACTACACTATGAATTACCCAGCAATTGTAATCACCATTATATCCTGTGATGTATTCACTATCTATTACAAATTATTCAGTATATACTAAAATACTCCAAATATTAGCTATTATGAATAATTTAGTAACTACTTTAATTATTCAGCAAATGCTAAAATACGGTGATTATTAGCTATTATTAATGATTTAGTAACTACTTTAAATATTGAGCAAACACTAAAATACTGTGATTAATAACTATTATGATTTATTCAGTAACTACTTGAATTATTCTGTAAATATTTAAATACTATGATTATTAACTATTATCAATCATTCAGTAGCTACTATAAATTATTTAGTAACTACATCAGGTTATTGAGAAACTCATATGAATTATTCAGTATCTACTATGAATTATTCAGTAACTACTTTAATTATTCAGTAAATACTAAAATACTATTCAGTATTCAGTAACCATTATGAATTATTCAGTATTATTCAGTCTCAGTGTAATTTCTGAGAGTGAGGAATTGAAGTGTGAACTCGGACTCTTAGAGTTTCAGGGGTTAAATAAGTCCCATGAATAATTCTTATTAGCCCAATTACAGCAGCAGCCTCTGTACAGTCAAGTGTTATTCCTGAGCTGTTCAGTTCATGTAGTAAAATCAAGCATGCAGGTCAAAAAATCATTTTATTCTGTGGTCGAAACTGTTGGATGGTACAAATTGTCCCGTTCTTCTGTATCTTGATACGGAGCCGAAATCACACCCAGTTTGTTTCTTTTCTTCCCAAAGCAGAAGAGAAAGAGGTGGAAGGGAAGGAAAAAGAAAAAACAGAAGGAAAAGAAGACAAAGAGAAAGAAGAAGAAGAAGAAGATGATCCTATGTATTCCACACTGAATAATCCAACAGAAGACATCTACAGTTTGACTGAGCTGCCCGGTTCCCCCAAACAACACCAGAGTAAAGGTAACCTTTACTGCAGCACCACTTATTGTATTGATCACTTTTAAAGCGATGGTTTGGTAAAAAAAATGAATTTACACAGTTTTTACCTCTCAGTTCAGATGTAGTCGATCAGCCAAGACATGTTCAGTGGTTTTGCACTGGAGCTAGAAAAACTAATGTAAATAACAAGTGAAGGAAGCTTACACCCTACTCATTAGCATCATGCTAACTGCATGCCTAAATCACCACAGAAGTATCTCAAACAGCCTTGAGTTGTTAAGTGATCTCAAATAGACCTGATTGTGGTTTCTGACAGTGTATGACATACATACATATAAATATATACATACATACATACATACATACATATATATATATATATATATATAGATTGAGTAGGTAGATAGATAGATAGATTAGAATTGTGTGCATTTAATTGATAGAATATTTGACCACATATATGCAAAGGTTTCAAACGGTCACCCTGGTCAAACTGCATGTGCAAACACATCCTCTACAGGGAGCAAATTTAAATATGTAACATTTTTTTCTGCAAATTTTTTCTACTGCATGATCCCACAGCTCACACCTTTCTGTATGGATCATTAGAGCGTTTGTAGAGGCCGGTATAAGTAAGAAAACTGGAAAAAGTCAGCCTGGTGTTCGTAAATCCTTTCAAAAGTCCAGCTGTCTCGGATATCTAAATCAGAGCCTTGGAGGAATAAAAAAGGCCCGAAAGAGGAACAGAGAGTGAGGGGAAGACAGAAGCGCCACAGCAGCAGCAAAACCACATCACACTGCAATATTTCAATTTCTCATAAAACGAGGATGAATCACAGTTCAGTGGAAGCTCTGAGGTTTGGGAAAAGGAGATGTTTTGCTTGAAAAATCAGCAATTTCAGCTAAAAAAATATCTGTGCTCAGTATGCTGACCTCTGAGTGGTCACATTAAAAAAGGATGGCCCTTCAAGCTGTTTTTAATAAAGGCAATGGTTCTATATAGCACTAAAGGGGGTCTTCTACTGTTACAAGCTTGACATTGCAACAATAGCAGAACCCTTTTTGATGCTATATAGAACCATTTTCAAAAAAGGTTATGTACGGAACCATATAGAACGCATTCTAAATCAATCTGGAAAACAATTTCACCAACAATTTAACCCTCGTGTGGGTTCAGGTCATTTTCAATGTTTACTGAAAGAAACAAATGATGTGATTTATTATTATTTCAACCCCAGATTCTTTGCTCATTTTCTGTGAAGAACATATAAAATAACCCATTTTCAGTGTCTTCACTCTGTTCACCCCCCACACATTTATATTAGACAAACTAATTTTCACTTGCACTACATAATGAAAAGCCTACTGACCATTAAAGAACAGGATGACAGAGTATGCAGAGAAACAGATGGACTACAGTCTGTAACTGTAGAACTACAAAGTGCTCCTATATGGTCAGTGGAGCTGATAAAATGGACAGTGAGTGTAGATACAAGGAGGATGTTATAGCTGATTGGTTTGTGTGTATATATATATATATATATATATATATTTTTTTTTGTCTCCATTTTTGTGGTTTTTCAGTTTTTGACATAATTTGAAAACACCTGTTTCCCTTTACACTGTGTGTAAATTTCATGATGAACAGACCAAAAGAAACGACCCAAAACGACTTGGAAAAAATTCTGATTCCATTGACTTACATTAAAAGTAAAGTAGTTTTTTTCCTTCTCCTGTAAAGTTACCATTTTGGAGATGTGAGGTTTTCTTCCAACACCAGCGATATATAAATATATGTATACATGTATATATATCCATATATAGTGGCGATTTCTCCTCGCTAGAAATTCTCTACTATCTTGTTAGTGTTAGCTGGCTTGCTATGCTTACTAATCATTAGCAAACCAGTATACTGGGCATTTTTTCCCAGGTATTCTAGCTCTGTAGAAGCAGGTGCGTCACCACACTCACTGCATGTGTTTCTGCAGAACTCGGTCTGTGTGTCGCTTGGTCATTTAATACAATGTTTTCTTTTCTTGTCATAAAGAAAAAATGTGTCAGCTGGTGAGACAGACGCTCACTGTCTCCAAGGCCAGATCAGACACTGTTTCTAAATGATCCTGTATTTATTTCAGAAGTGTTTTTGTGTGTTTGTTCATTCCAGATACAGTGATGTAAATCAGTGTACATACTTTGTGTTTACAAGCTTTGTTTATTATTATGATATGAAAATTATTATGAAAATGATGTAATATTTTAGGAGCTCTTCATGCAAAATTCCAGGAGGTTCCAAGAGTTCAGAAACGTTTTCATGCAGCCGCACATTTAGAGAAAAGAGGAAAGACGCAGTGCTTGCTTTGAGTCTTGTTATTTTGGTGATTACAAACATGCAAATTTAATGCGCTTAAGTCCAAATGTCCAGTATACTGGACACTAAATGTAACGTTTCCCAGTAAACACAAAAATTAGTTCACGTATGATGTTATTTAGTCATATTTACTAAGTGTTCTGATCAGGATCAACATTAGTCACTGGTGTCACTACATGTCACTGGTGTTATATGAATGTGGTGTAACACCAGTGACGGCGACACCAGTGACAATCTGGGTAAAATGCAACTACTTAAAATCATGATATATAAATGATAATTATTTTGACGAACTTTCAATTAGACAGCCATTAGAGCACATAACACCGGTGACACATAGAAGTTATGAGCTGCCTAATAAGCAAAATTATTAATAAATTCATGAAATATGATGAGTACATAGAGACTAACCTTCTCTTACCTCAACATGCTTCCTCTCTGATGAGCCTCGACCCAAAGAAGCAGTTTAATAGAGCTGAAAATACTATATTAAAATGCAAAATAAGAGTCCTAATAACACCAGTGACCACAATCTCTGTAACAAATAAATTTTATAAATAAAATACATATTTTTTATATAGTGTAAGGTTAACGATGTATATAGTAAACGTGAATCTGTGTACAATATATATATATATATATATATATATTACCATATAGAACCATCTAGAGCACTTTCTCCATCTAAAGAGTCATTCAATCATGCAAAGGGTTCTTTGAGTGTTCCTAGTTCTATATAAAACCATTTTCTTTACTAAAGAACCCTCAAAGAACCATCTTTTGTTGTTGTTCCGTTACCCTGTGTCAACAGAAGAACTCTTTGGTTCTATATAGAACCTTGAGTTCTTCAAATTGATGGAGAATGTGTTGTATAGGGTTCTACATAGAACCTTTTTGAAAATGAAAACAGAGGGTTTTTGTTGTTACAAGCTTGACGTTGTAACAATGTAGCAGAACCCTTTTTGGTGCTGTGTAGAACCATATACAACACTTTCTCCATCAATCTGAAGAACTGTTTCACCATGCACCACTCTTTTAAGCGTGTACCATACAAAAAATGCATAAATCAGGCCTGAGAACTTCCCCCAAAATGGAGCTTGTTGTGTAGGAATTACTGTAATTCTCTGTTTGAGTCATCTTTGTTGATAGTGTTGCCACATCTGTCTTGGATCTGTCTTGATCTCCACCACTTCTGCTCACCGTGTCACCATGCAGTTCTCAGAATTCACACTTCCTAAAAAGACCACAGTGGATGCAGTGCAAGTAAAACAGAAACAGCAGATCTAAACAGCAGTAAAGTACTGAAATATAAAGAAATACCCATAATAACCATGTTTAGAGTAGCTGTGCCTTCTAATTACAATAATACAGGAGGTAAGTAACAAGAGGTTAGTAAAGGCAATGGATATATGTAGATCCAGGAGTTCTATATAGAACCATTTTCATGCTTAAATAGTTCTTTGCAAGGTGAAACAGCTCTTCAGAGTGATGGAGAACGTGTTGTATAGGGTTCTATGAACCTTTCTGAGAATAGCTCTGGGTTCTGCTATTCACTCCTAAAAAACATGGCTCTTCAAAGGTTCTTTAGTAAAGAAAATGGTTCTATTTAGAACTGTGAACACTCAAAGAGTCCTTTGCATGACTAAAGCGTTCTTTGCATGGTGAAAGCGTTCTGCAGATTGATGGAGAATGTGTGGTACATGGTTCTATATAGCTATGAAAAGTATTCTATGTAGCACCAAAAAGGGGTTCTACAAGTGTGTTACAATAGAAGAACTCTTGCTGGTGCTAGATAGAACCCTTTTCAAAAAGGTTCTATACAGAACCATCTAGAGCACTTTCTCAATCAATCTGAAGAATGATTCAATAATGCAGAGGGTTTTTTGACTCTAGCAGCACTGCTGTGACTGATCCACTCAGACCAGCACAACACACACTAACACACCACCACCACATCAGTGTTACAGCAGTGCTGAGAATGACCCACCACCCAAATAGTACCTGCTCTGTGAGGGTCCATGGGGGTCCTGACCACTGAAGAACAGGGTAAAAGGGGGCTAACAAAGTATGCAGAGAAACAGATGGACTACAGTCTGTAACTGTAGAACTACAAAGTGCACCTATATAGTAAGTGGAGCTGATAAAATGGACAATGAGCGTAGAAACAAGGAGGTGGTCATAATGTTATGCCTGATCGGTGTGTGTGTATATATATATATATATATATATGAATGACTTGGAAGAATGACCTGGAAAAACGTCTGGTACCATTGACTTAAAGTAAAGCATGTTTTCCTTTCATGTAGTAACTTTCTGTGAGGGAGCTTTTAAAGCTGGACGTCTGGTTCCTATCAACACCACTGTGAAGAGTTCTGACTCTAGTTTCTCTAGAATGGAGCCTTTCACACAAAACCATTCAGAATGACTTAATTAGTGTTTTACCAATTTAATTATGCAGAAATTCTGAAAAATCTGTCGAGTTTCCCTTTAAGTAATCTCAAATAGACTTGCTCATGTGACACTGGATGTCACAGTGTCGTCTAAAAATTATATATGATACAGATGGCCTGTAGACATCTATGTATATGTCCAACCCCGACACCAAGTGACACACGCTGTAGTGAGTTGGAAGAGAACTGAGGCAGGGCTACTT